TTGCACAGTTTAAATGTATCTTAGCTTTAGCATTTATAGATTTGCTATTAGGTGGGCTAGGAGAGATACAGGGGCTTGCTTACTTGCTTGCTTACTTGTTTACTTGCTACTTTGTCACTTTTCTATAGCCTTTTTTGAAAAAAAAAACAGCTCACGATTTACAAGACAGTGGCATATAACTTGAAAAATTCAATTCAAACTGCCCTTAAGAAGTAACTTTTCAAAGTAATAAAAAATAGTAAGAAGAAGTTGCATCCTTGCCACTTCATTACTTTTGAAATGTAATTTTGTGTGGGGAAATCCCCAGGGAACCCTGCTTGGAAGCCAGCCAAGCAGCAGTTGGTTACACCATCATTACCAGACAAATAAAAAGTTACAGGCAGCTTTGATATTTCTAGTCTAATACTTCTGAGCTCTGAGCTGGCCTAGTCATTCATTGGGATTAATTCTATACTTGACCATGTTGGCTGGAAGTCTGCTGCTTTTTATGTATGAATGGGAAATTGTAAAAGTCACCACAGCTAAGTGATGAGGGTACCGGTTGAATGTCGGATCATGCATCCAGTTAATGTGACTGGAAAGCAACAAGAACCTGGGCTATTATTTGTTGCGTCTGCAATTTCACGGCTGCACATTGTAAAAAGCAATAGGATGCTGGTCCTAGAAACTCAATGGCAAACAGTATGGGATTTCTGGCAACTCTGAGTACATTCCACCTTGATTACCTCTACTTTGGATACTGCTAAATGTCTACCACTTTACCGGGAAGTCTAGCGTAGTGCCGATTGTGAGAGTGCTGAAGTCATTCAAATTGATTAATATCTCCTTTCAAGCACCCGTTGCAATAGGAAAGACCTTCCGTTTACAACTTTATGGCCAGAAATTAATAAGCTGCAGCACTAACAATTGACCTGATGGGTGGGAGAAAACAATCACCGAACATTTCAAAGCTTTGAAAATATGTGAATGTCAATTATATGTGAATTTAATAAAAACAATAGCTCTGTAGAGTGATCTGTGACTGCTCATTTAATCATTTTACTTTAGGGTATGGTAGATGGGCTACCTGAAATACTGTTCTTTTCCATGGACTGTTCTGTGCCTACACAGCATCTTCTGGAACCTTCCAAAGCTAAAGCTTAGTATTTTGCTGAAGCCCACTCCCTTTTGCAGTATGCCCAATCAGCTGTTTCTGTCCGTTTCTAGCAGTTCTTTCTCATCCGCCAACTTAGGAAGCATTGTTCTGGAACTCTCACCACATGGGTGATCACTTCTCTGATATCTCCTTCATTTTTCCTTCTCCCTACTTAAAACAAGAGAAAGCAAAGGATTTCTTCTTCAGTTGCCTATTCTTCCTCCTTTGTGGTGCCCCAACCACTTTTCAAAAAGTGTGCAGTGTGTAGCTCCGAGATTCCACTTTTGGTTATACACTCTCAGTACCTCCTTTGCCAGCTTAGGTCCCACAACACTCAATCCTGTAACATTTGCCTGATGTTTTCTCCTCACACATCCTAAGAACACGGAGGCCAGGACTTCCTCCCAAAGGCAGGCTTTGTTCTTGGGAGAAAGTCTTTTGTGCACCGGACTTTCCATTGCCTTCATCTGTCATCTCTCTGTCACTTTTCCCCCTGTGGTTCCAACCACTCCAGTACCTTCAACCTCTGCCTCCAACCTAACTGTTGAACAGTTCTACTTCCAATTATAATACCAAAGTATAAAGGCAAAACATAACAGTATGTCCACCCCCTGAGGGTAAACCTAAAAAGAAAAAGGACCGTATATACACAGGGCCACTGCCTGCTTCCTTTTCATTTCTGCTGCCTTTTCTCCACCAGACAAGACCCTCCATTACCTGCTTTCCTCATATGGTTTCAAAATAACCACCACCACAGCATCACCATGTCATTCTTTGGAGGTTTTTCTTCTTGCCCTATCTGCCATCACCTTTGCAAAGAAGGACAAGGTCATGATGACTGCCTTCTTTTTCCATAGGGGAAATTGTCAACAAGTCCCCTTAGGGCTCTATTAATTCTTGACTCCCTAACTAATTCTCTACCTACTAGGACTAGGACTAGGTTCTACCTCAATCCCATGAGTCTGGATCTCTCACCCCATAACTATACTGTTTCGATACTCTCCAGCTTCCTCTGACTTTCCAGGATTTAGATCTCCCTCTAATTACTTGAGAGTCCCCTGGACTGCAAGGAGATCAAACCTATCCATTCTGAAGGAAATCAATCCTGAGTGCTCACTGGAAGGACAGATTCTGAAGCTGAGGCTCCAATACTTTGGCCATCTCATGAGAAGAGAAAACTCCCTGGAAAAGACGCTGATGGTGGGAAAGTGTGAAGGCAAGAGGATAAGGGGATGGAAGAGGACAAGATGGTTGGACAGTGTCATCGAAGCAACCAACATGAATTTGACCCAACTCCGGGAGGCAGTGGAAGACAGGAGGGCCTGGCATGCTCTGGTCCATGGGGTCACAAAGAGTCAGACATGACTAAACTAAACAACAACAACAACTCATTACAGAGTGGGAATATGACCATAATCTTATGTGGGATACCATTCTTATTCCCCTTCTTACAACTGAAGATCACCCTCACATTATAAGAAGTATTACCGTCTTCCTTCTGAAATTGATATTTGATTGCCTAGCCTACTCCAATGTTATGAGGTTAACATGAACTACCAAAAGGGATTGCAACTCAGCCACCAAAGAAGTCATAGAACCCGTTCCAGCAAAGTTCAGGCAGACGAGTTTCCACATGAGATACTTTATTGTCTCCAGAACAGATAGTGGATTATGCCAAATCCTAAACCTGAGAAACAACAATTCCTTTCATCACTTTCACTCTACAATCAGGCATCCCACTACTCAGAAGTGAAGACTGGTTCATCACCAGAGATCTGCAGGTGCCATTTTTTCACATCAGTATCTGCCCTTTCTATAGAAGGTTCCTCAGATTCACAATCACTCACAGCACCTACCACTTCAAAGACCTCAACTTTGTAAAGACTCTTGAGGCTATCCAGTACCCTAAGGGTCCTTGCAAAATGTATGGCCATTGAAGGGCATTATTGTTTCCCCCTGTTTGGATGACTGGTTGATTATGGCATAATTCAAGTCTATCTTATGTTAGGATCACTCTTATGATGCTCGACAGACTGTCATCACATATCCAAAAAAAAAAAAAAAATCCTGTTTAAATCCACCTGAGTAATTGGTTTCATAGGGGCTGCATAAATTCCTGTAAGCTCACTATTTCAGGAGCCAGCAACATAACATCTTTCGTCCTTCGCCTTCTTCATCATCCAACACCTATGGTGAAACAGGCACAAGTGATTCTTGGTCTCATGCCCTCTGCTGTCACCTTGAGACTCCTCCAGCATTGGTTCATCAACAACTTCAAACTGTCTCATGACCACCCTCACCCATTTGTGTATGACATCTAGAATTTACCAATTTCTTCTGTGGTGGATGTCTTTAAGCAATCTCTTTGCAGGTCTCTACTTCAGATCACCCAGAGTATCTATTGTAGTAACAACTCTTAGCATGGGCTAGGGAGTCCATTGTCACAACTTTGACATACATAGCTGCCAGTCAACCATGGAGGCAGCCCTGGCACCAAACACCTGCAGCTCTTAGCACTGAGACCTTTTGAACACTTAAGCTTCTTCTACATGACTGCTGTGGCATTTATGTTGCTATATAAATATCTGACCTATTGCAGTACACCTCTAGCAAAACAATATGTTTTGGCAGACCTCCTCAGCACAATCTCAGTTTCCACCAACAAGTGGAAGTTTCATCCTCAAATTCTACATTATCTGTTTCATAGATGAGGTGCTCTTCATCTAGACCTGTTCACCATGCCCCAAAACACTGAATGCTGGCAGTTCGATTCTAAAGACAGGTCTAGACTCAGTTTCCTTGGTGACACCTTAATCTAGTGGTCCTCTGACTTTCTCAGAACACCAGAACCTCCTGGATCTTTAAGTGGAGGCCTTTTCAACCCTTTCTTTGTGACTTCATCTAACATCTGGACTCACTAAAATTTGATATCACCACTCTTCTCAGCTTCTTACTGTCACTTGAAAACAAGGGCCTGTCCATGTCATCCATTCAAGTTTATCTTGAGTCCATCTCAACCTACAAATGGAAGTCTCATCACACTTATGTCTCATCACACATATGAAGGTTGCTTTTTTGGTCACCTTGACCTTTGCTAGATGAGATAGTGAGCTATATGTCCTCCATATGGATCTCTATACAAGATTTTCCAGAAATACAAAGTGGTGCTGCATCCAGATACTTCCTTCTTTCCTAAGTTTTTCCCCCTCTGGATTTCACTTGGGACAGAACTCAACTCTACCACCTTTATCCCAACCTTCAGATACAGGTGGAACACAATGTCCACACTCTGGATTTGTGAAGCACCCTCATGTTCTATGTCTCCAGGACAAAACCCTAGAGATAATCCCAGATACACTTTGTCTATTATAGGAACTGTAACAAAGATCTCCAATTTTCACCTCAATTTGTCTCAACGTGGGTCACTGGCACAATTAAATTATGCTTTGAATTGGAACACCTCTCACTACCACAACCAATTTGCCTCACAACAGTGGCAGCTTTCTTCATGGACATAACCTAGCCAGAGATTTCTTCTACTGCTGTGTGGTCACAGCCTTCCATCTGCAAGGCTTTGTTATTTCCAGTTCTCTAGTGACATCTATCTGTCCACCACATGTGACCCAGTTAATCTGTCATTACTGTCTGTTAACAAAGACCATGAAGAAGAAGAAGAGGTTGCTTACCGGTAACTATGGTTCTTCTTCATTGCCTCTGTGAATAACACCCTGGGTGATCTGCACCCGCACAGAGCCTCATCGGAAAGTTCTAGAGCTTCTGCAGTAGCACAAAACACATTAGAATAAGGCCCCTCCCCCTTGAATAAGTACTGTGGTGCCAAGGCTCCCCTTTCAGTTTCTTTCAACCGCCGCGTTGAGAGCCTCATAGTTCTCCTTCTGTGAGTAAAAGAGAAAGGGAGTTCATCCTTGATTCCTTCCTGTTATCAATCTTTTTTTCCCTTTAAACTTTTAGATCAAATTCATTATCATCAGAGATTTTTTCTTTTCTATTTCACATGGCCTCTGGCTGCAGGACCCCCCCCCCCAATAATCCTTTTTTTCCCCTCCTCAAATTATTTTCTCTTATTCATGGCCCCTTTAGCCTTCCACTAAACATCTGATGTCCATCGAAGCCTTTTTGGTTCCAGAGCCTTCTCTACCTAAAAGACCTAAACAGCATAAATCTAAAGCTACAGTCATTTCTCAACAGCGTCAACAAACTGCTGAATCAATCTCTATTGGTTCACCTTCTGATGAGCCAAGGTACTTATACAAGGGGAGAGGGGGCTTATTCTAATGTGTTTTTTGCTACTGCAGAAGCTCTAGAACTTTCTGATGAGGCTCCGCGCAGGCTCAGATCACCCAGGGTGTGAATCACAAAGGTCCACTCAAAGAACTACAATTACAGGTGGGTAACCTGTCATTCTTTGAGTGTTCACCTGTGAAATCACATATCTCACCTGCCTTCCTCCATAATGTCTCTTGTTTCTTCTTTCAGGTAGACTCAGAACTGAGAGAAACGGAGGGAAACAGCTGCTTTTGTGTACTGCAGAAGGGGGTAGATCCTCACCAAAATGCTAAGCATCAGCTTTGGAAAGTTCTGAAAGATCCTGTGCATGTGCAGAATGATCTGTTAGTGTGAGTTCACAGATTATTCAAAGATCCAGTTGCAGGTACGCAACCTACTCTTATGTACATACTACTCCCATCTCTGCATTTAGTGGTTAACCATACATTTCATGAAATGTTGCAGATTCTGAAGAATAAACCTCTCATAGTAGTGATTGCAGAGGGTTGATGGGATTAATCAGTTTTTGAGGTTCTTCATGTAAGCTATGCATGGATTCTTAATACCCTAGGACACTATTAATAAAAATGTATCTACTGATGTAACTATTCTGAAATGCTCTCTTCCAAGACTGATGTCTTTCCTATCTGGAATTTCAGATTTACAAACCTCGGCAGTAAGCACAGAATTCATAAAGAACACCACAGCAATGTAGATTTATTCATAATTATAAGCTGAATTACTGCTGTAGTGCTGTTTGGTGATCTGGCACAACAGGACAGGAGATGAAATAGTAAGATTCCAAATTTTCACTGCATTATGGTTTGAAGAGCAATCATCTGGAGAAAGAGTTTGGGGAGAGAAAAGTAAAGCCATCACAAAATAATGTGCCCAAGTAACTTTTCTGCCAGAGATGAGTTTCAACATCAATAATTCATTCCTCTTGCTAATTTCAGAATTTGAAAAGCGACCCTTTGCTGTGACTCATTACAGTGTTGGAAAAGTAACTCACATTAGTTATTATGTTGTTTGCTACTTTTGTTTTACTTTATGTTAGTTTCCATTAAAGATGTGCACAAACCAAAAAACTGGTAGTTTGTGATGGTTCGTGGTTCGTGACTGCCCACGAACCATGAACCGCAAGCTGTCACACCCCTATCCCCAAAATGAACCAGTTCACAGTTCACTTTTTGGGTTTGTGCCAAGGGGGGAACTGCTTGCCTGTCCCTTTCTCTTCCACTGCCATGATCAGCTCCTTACCTTATCTTAAAATTGCCGCTGCCACCGTAATCCTGCTGCATGTGTACATGTTCCTGCTGCTCAGCTAGGTAGCTGACACCTGTGCACACACAGCTTGCAAGGACCCAGGTCTGCTGCCTGTGAGGCTTGTGGCAGCAGCAGCAGAGGAGGAGGAGGTGGTAGCAGCAACAGAGGCGGCAGTGGCAGAGGAGGAAGCAGCAGCAGCAGCTTCAATGTAAGGAGCCAATGGGGGCAGTGGGAGGGGGTTGGGCAGTCACCCCCTTTCACTGAAGAAAATGAAGCACTGAGGTGAAAAAAGTTTGGCGCTTTGTTTTGTTTCAGCAAAACAGGATCCCCTAAATGAACCACAAACTCAACCATGAACCAGTCCAGTTTGTGAATTTTTCTGGCTGATGGTTCAGTTCGTGCTCATCCCTAGTTTTCTCTTATAAATTTTAAATTTAGAATTGGTAAAACATGACATAAACCTGGGGGGAAATCATGTCAAAATGAGTCTACAAATGCCTTAGAATGTTCTTTAAAAGTAACTTTGGAAAAGAAGTAGAAAATATTCCTTACACTAGTATAGTAACTCTTCCTACACGTTATATCAGAGATGTTCCTTTGTCATTACCTTAGAAGTAACTAATTATAAACAACTACATTACTTGCAACCTATTACTTCTAATCTCTGGTTTATATTTATCACTGAAGACTGCTCAACAGAGTAAGAGAAACTTTGGTGAAACCAGTTAAATATATGATAGCAAGCTAACCTATATGAATTAAATATTGGAGTAAGGCTTTCTTCTCCCTTTCTTCACTTTAATTTAAATATTCTGTTTTATATGCACAGTGACTAATATTCTCCATGGCAGAAAAACAACAACACTACAGCCTTACAGATCTCTTAGATCAAGTGGAAAAGGCCCACAAAGCTGAAATTCAGCTTTACACTTCAGGTCACCTAAACCACAACAAACTTTTCAGGCCTCGAGGATTGATAAAACATAACTACTGGGGAAGTGCCCAAAAACCTGCCCTACTCCTCAGAAGACCTCAGTTCACTGCACCCACCCAGGCATCCCAGAAGACAAAGCATTCTTTGACCAGTAAAAATGACACACCAACACCCACTCGTGTCCGATCAGCTTCGCATTTGTGTTGGCAACCTTGGACCTCCAGGGCCACCTCTGTGGCTCTGGCCAGTGTTCCAGTCAGTGGTGCAGCTTTAACAGTACAAAGAAAGGAGATTCCTGAGGAAGAAGAGGAGGGAGAAGGCTTGTTTAGAAGGAAACTTATAAAGGATGAGCTGGATGTTCCAGAGATGAAAATTTTGAAACACAAACCAATCAAGAACAGTCGGCTTTGTGTACTGAAGGAGACTAATGACGAATACCAGTTCCTTCCTTCCTACTTGGCTGGTGTGACCAAAACAGACCAGTATCACAAATTCATGCAATTTGAGAAAGATATTATAGGCAAACAGGATTTGCTGGAGAATGACTGTGTCGGAAGCAAATCAGCAGAGCAGCATGAGAGGAAATTGGCTCAGGTCAGTAAACAGATGGAGGGAATTATGAAGAAGACACTGACATGCTCCCAGATCATGTGAATTTTTGCAATATTGTGTGTGTGTGTGTGTGTGTACATGTGCACTTAATGTGGTTAAGCCATGTCACATGCATTTATCTCAAAATAATTGATTTGACTTTTGGACATTTTGTAGTTCTGTGCCATTAAATTGCATTTGACCCATGGAGCCTCAATAAGGTTTTTTGAGGTATGGGAGTTGTTCAAGGAATGGTTTATGGAAGGAGTCACCCTGAAGAATGTGAGGACTCTGAAGGCATTTAGGTATCTACTGGGAAACTACAGAACCTATCTTTCCACTCCAGAAGCGCCATTGGATTTCCACCAATGGAAATCTGAACTGAGGTCACCTGAGCCCTAATCCCATGATCTATCCAGTATGCCACACTGGTGTAGTAGAAAATACATGGCATTAATAATGCCAGGGGGTTGGACTTGATGGCCTTGTAGGCCCCTTCCAACTTCACTTTTCTATGATTCTATGATACATTTCTAGGCTCCTGCTAGAATTGTTTGAGGGCCAAACTCACATCTCCACTGACAGTTTAGGAATGGGTGTGTATTTTGTAAATTCTCGCCCCAAATGTTGGATGTGCTTTGGGTTACACAGGATGTGGCTGATCTGGAGCTGTCACAGATGTAATGGACTCTTGAGTCACATCATTTTAGAAAAGTCCAGCAGTTTAACCATTATACTATAATGGCTTCTCAGATCAGTGATTACTGTATATATGATGCTGGCTAATATGTATTGGTAGAACGCAACTATTAACTTGTATAATCTGCCTAATATGAAAACTCCATGTTACTTGGACTCTGTAATATCTATAATATACAAAACAGGCTGACTATATTTGAAAACTAGAATATGGCAAGCTACTAAAAATGGGACTTAGCCTTTTTTTCATGGTTCAATAAACATGGACTCTCTCATTCAATATACTTTAGAGTGAACAAAATAATGATTCATTTCAAAGTGACATACAAATGCTAACACAAGTAAGTTAAAAGAATTGTTGGATAGCTCTGTGGTTTAGGTATCCGGCTGCAGAGCCAGAGGGGGTGGGAGTTTGATTCCCCACTGTGCCTCCTTGACAGCAGCTAGCCTTGATGATCCATAGGGTCTCTTCCAGCTCTGCAGTTCTAAGATGATGATGATGAGTGCAGCTATAAACAAGCCAAGCTATATTTGGTTTACTAATTGGTAATATATAAAGCAAATCTAATGTCATAGGCCACCTGGATCTGTTTGACTGGTATGAAAACTGCTGGCTTGTTTTGACAGCCCTGTCTAACAATGTGGATAGAAGATACAATTTTGAAGAGGTTTACATCATACTTAAAACACAAAGATCTGTGCAAGCTTCTAAATACAAAAACATACTTCCCTTTTAGATTTTGCCGTTCCAAAACTAGGAAGTAAAGAACAAACTATGCAAAGTAGGAAGAATGTGGAATAAATTATGCAAAATATAATGAATTTTGCAAATATATCCGGTTTGCATAATTTATACATAGTTGAGAATCCATTTTATCCTTGTTTAGAGTTAAGTGAGGAATTTCATTTTATTTTATTTAAAAAGAGCATATATATCTCTGCTTATAGTAAGATCGATGCAGGCTTTATGTAAGTAGTAACGGGATCTCTGAATGCCACAAGTGATTATTTGTACAAATGTCCTCTCCAGAAACCTGCTCGTCTTTAGGTCAAACAAAAGTCCTTCTGGGATTGGGATTACAGTTTTTACTAGGTGGATGAGTGCTGGTGTGGAGGTAGTCAGAGCTAGGCTGCTTGAAATTCATAGGGCAGCTGTATGTAGCAAACACATTATTAGATTAGAATAAATCTTGTCAACTAGAATTTGATTTCTTTTCAGGCACTCCGGGATATCTGTGACTGCAATCGTCCACATTTTTACCGGCTACAAGCTGTTGGTGACGTGTTTGAAGATATTTGCAGCAGCTCTTGGATATTTGGTGATATATTGAAAGAAGTGAAAGTACGTGAGGTTCCCCAATTTAATGGAGTGTAGGAGGAAAGCTCAACAAATGACTTTGGGGAATGTACTGCAGGATCTGTGCCGCTATTTAAGTCTCTGTGTTTAAGTACACAGGATGTGTGCCGCTATTTAAGTCTTTGTGCTGTGTAAACGTAGCTCAGACGTCATCTGTGCAGTACCAAATGCAAAAGATCATTGAGAAAGTTATGATTTGGAGAAAAAGCATGAATGCAAATACTGAAACACGGCTTTGTAATTCCTTAGAATTCACAAAAGCTCAGTTAGTTAGGATTGTCAATGATAGCTAGTTTGTGGTCCTCTCCATTCTCCTGGATTTAGCCAGACCCTGCTGTTCAAGCGACCAGTCCTTTGTTAGAATTTTTATAATTATTTTTTATTAGAAAAACAGAGTTTCATAGATTCAGTTTATATTGCTCAAGCTTTAGCATAAATAACATATTCAAAGATTATTACAGTTAAATAAAATAACTAATACCCATTAAAATAAGAAACACTAAGATGGGCTAAGGTGGGCTAACCCCACCTCTTTCTGGCAATTACATTTTTTTACCATCCAACTACATAACACATTCCAGAAAGAATCATCCTCTCAGATCCTTCAGAAATCAGTTAGCTTGTAGCTAAGCTCAAACACACACTTCTCCTTCCATCTTTTCTACATTCTCTGACTCCTCCCTTCTTCTTGACACTTCATGGCTGTTAACCAATTAGCCTCAAGGGGATGTAACACCTTCCTCCGCCCTCAGTTCCCATGAGGATCCAGGTGTGTTATCTCTTCTCCAGTTAGTTCGGAATGTTGAGTCTTTTCATGGGCCTTTTTGTTTGACCTTCAGCTTATCACGGATCATACTGTACCAGTCTTCAGAAAAACACTGTCGCACCACTTAGAAAAACACATTCCAATGCCTCTCAAATCACCTTCACACAGAACCTGTCTGACTCCATTGTACATTTCTCTGACTACATATCCCACACTGCTTTGACTCCATCACAAGGCCTTGTCCCAACTGATAAAAATGTAGGTGTGTCCATAAACAAGAACTGATAGAATTCTGCCTCGCGGATTCTTGGAACTGGAGTCCAAACAACAACAAATGTCACACCCCTAGTTGTGTAACATTTCAGCTTCCAAGGAGTCTAGATATGAGTCTATGTGCATAGACTTTCCCTTTCATATCTCATGCATGGATTTGAAAGTGGGGTTAAGCGAACCATGCAAGATAACCTTGTAGACATATATAGACATTTGGTTAGTAACATAGGAGGGGTTTGAGAAGGAAGAGTAGAGGACTGGCAAGAGGAGGAAGAGGCAAAGGAAAGAAGGAGCATAGGCCTAGGCAAATTTAAGATCTTTTCAAAACTGTTCTGCAAACCATAATATTGTAACTTACGGGGAACTTACCTTCTGTGCATTAATTTTGTTGTTGCAACTGATAGAGTTCTTCCTCTGTGGAAATAGTTTTACTAATAGTAGAAGTATTTCCTTGTCTCCAGGTAATGCGTCATTTGCATAGGTATTATTAGAGCTACAGAAATAGGTACAGTGGGGTCTCTACTTAAGACTTCCTTGTCTCCAGGTAATGGGTCATTTACATAGGTATTACTAGAGCTACAGAAATAGGTAATACAAAGCTATTACAGAAACCTTGCCTTTTAAATGTAAACGTCCAAAATCCCATAGCTATCATGATAGCAGCCATATTGGCTATGGGATCTTGGAAGCAACATTCTTTTATTTCTGGGTCATGCTTAGGCCCTCCAAGTAAGTGAAATTAGTATACAACAAAGGCACAATGGGAAACAAAATCCATGTAAGTCTATGAATACTTTAAAATGTAGATCTTTCAATTTGATCTTGCTCACACATTAAGCCTTTTTGATTGCTTCAGTGGGAAATATTCTCAATTCCGGATATCTAGACAGATGAAAAAGGGGGGAAAACATTCTCCAGCGACAAAATCCTGTGATCCCTAGCTTAGTAGAAGAGGCTCATGAGAAAAATGAACTGTCCTGATGTTGGAAGGAGTGCTCTGAATTTGTATTTCCCCTTCCTGCCCTTGGCAAAGGATATGCAGAGCTCACACTTCTGAGATGTTGGCACTTTGATGACAGAGAGGGGAGAAAGGATCAGAGGGTGGCCCCTGTGAAGAGCAGATCAACCATTTTCCCAACACAAGGAAACTTTACGCAATCTTGAAGGTGGCATATAGAATTTCCCTCCCATTGCAGGCAAGTGAGAAGTGTAGAGAACAAATCCAGAGAAAAAACTGGCAAAAGTTGCTCCATCCTCATCTCTGCCATTTTGACAAAGTGTGGTGTATATGCAACCCCTGGAGCTTGGAGCATTTTATTTATTTATTTATTTATTTATTTATTTATTTATTTATTTATTTATTTATTTATTTATTTATTTATTTATTTATTTATTTATTTATTTATTTATTTATTTATTTATTTATTTATTTATTTATTTATTTATTTAACTTATATGTTGCCCACTCTACCCAAAGGTCTCTGGGCAGCTTACAACAATTAAAATACAATAAGAAAGATAAAGCAATTAAAATATAAACTCTAAAAATTGCCATCAAGATGATTCAGGTATCTAGGGCCCAAGCCATTTAGGACTTTATAGGTCAAAACAAGCACTTTGAATTGGACCTGGGCAGCAACGAGTAGTGAATGTAATTTAAACAGTATTAGCTTGATATGTCCCCTGGCGGCCCCATCACTCACCTGCCGCACAGGTCTATTCTGGTCCAGTTGCAGTCACCGGACCATCTTCAATTATTTCAATTAAAAGCCTTCTGGAACAGGAAGGTTTTGACCTGGTGCTGAAATGTCATCAGCGTCGGCACCAGACGAATCTCAATTGGGATGGCGTTCCACAGTCTGGGGACAGCTGCCTAAAAGGCCCTTTGTCTGCAAGCCATCCCTCTTATCTCCTTGAGGGATGACTCTTTCAAAAGGGCCCCCTGGCTAGATCTTAACTGCTGGGTAGGCTCATATGGAAGGAGGCGGTCCTTCAGGTATCTAGGGCCCAAGCCATTTAGGGCTCTATAGCTCAAAACAAGCACTTTGAATTGGGCCCGGGCAGCAACTGGTAGCCAATGTAATTTAAACAGTTTTGGCTTGATATGTTCCCTAGTGGCCCCATCACTCACCAGCCGTGCAGCTCAATTCACTGGACCATCTTCAAAGGCAGCCCCACGTAGAGCACATTGCAGTAGTCTATATGAGATGTTACCAGTGTGTGTGTAACTGTCATGAGACTCTGCCCGTCCAGGTAGGGGCGTAGTTGGTATAATTTCCACAGCTGAAGAAGCTGGGCTTCCAGAGATAGACTGGGGTCCAGGAGCACCCCCAGGCTGTGGACCCTTTCCCTTAGGAGGAGTGCAACCCCATTCAGGGCAGGGAAATGGCCCTCCACCCTGTCCAGCGAAGCACCCACTAACAAGACTTCTGTCTTGTCTGGATTGAGTTCCAATTTATTAACCCTCATCCAGTCCCTTATCAGGTACACACACAAGTTCAGCACAGAAACTGACTCACCTAGATTGGTGCAAAACAAGAGTCAGAGCTGGGTGTTGTCAGCATATTGCTGACTCCTCAGCCCAACCCTCCTGATGACCTCTCCCAGCGGTTTCATGTAGGTGTTAAACAGCATTGGGGACAGTATTGAGCCCTGAGGAACCCCATGACATAAACACCATGGGACAGAGCAAGTGTCCCCCAGCACCACCCTCTGGACATGGTCAGCTAGGAAGGAGTGGAACCACCATAAAGCGGTGCCCCCAATTCCCAACCCAGCCAGCCTTTCCAGAAAGACACCATGGTCAATGGAATCGAAAGCCACTGAGATGCCCAGGAGTATCAACAGTGTCACACTCCCCCATCTTTCTCCCAGTAAGGTCCTACAGGGTGACCAAGGCACTGTGATTTTAAAAAGAAACTAGTGGTTACTTTATAGCGGACAACTATGGCCCTCTAGATGTTTTTGGATGGAGATGCCTGCAATTCTGTGCTGGCTGGAACCAATGGAACTTTGAAAAATAAATTGAGAAAATACCTTTCTGTTTTGCAAATAAACTTATGCTGAAGTTTGGGGAATTGACAACTAGGAAAATGGCAATCTTGGGCAAACCCTATTGGATCTAATAAGGCCTACTTCTCTAGAGATGTACAGGATTGCACTGCATTTGATCAGTTCAATAGAGATGAAAGATGGTAACTCAAAATGATTACTAAAATGCAGAATCTTCAGGCAGTGGCCAGCTTTACAATTAGTTAAAGTGTTATTGATTTAATCACAGTTTATCAGGTTCTTCTTACTACTCCAGTGCAGTAAATACATTGAAACATACATTTCTCTCTTCCCTCAAGGGAAAACTGTATGTTTCAATGTACGTATTTCAAAGGCAGAGGAGGAAAAAAAATGAGGCGGTCCCACCCAGCCGCTTGCGGCCACATTCCAGAGTTTTCATCTGAGAACAAAGAATGGCATAGATCAGTTTGTAAACAGTCTTGATGACTTTTTTTTACTAACACTCCTATTTAATTTTACCTTACAGAATGAATATGAACTCTACATGGTGATCCTGTTGGATGCTTTGCCTACCATGCAGTACAGAGTAATACATTTTTTAAAATTCTGTATTGATATATACTTTTGTCTAGGGTTATGCTGAAGGTCCTTAATTATAAAGTGTTTTATCTGGTCTCCTAGAATTCAGCGGATGACTCTTCTTGCCATGCATGCTTTCTATAATAAATATTCCCCATAAATTGATACAATGTTGAAGTCATAGAGTGGATTGCACCACTGGAGGTGTGGAAAGGGAAGAACGGACAATTCTGTCAAGCTCAGTTTCATCAACATCTTTTTTACCCAATGCTAACTCCTTTCTGTCTCAATTTTTCATATATTTATAAATGTAACTTTAGACTATGAAAATTGCTATTCATTTTCATATGGTTTTTTGAAAATCCACATTTTTGCCTGCATAATGTGTGCATATTTTTCCAAGCAGTTTCCAGGAGAATAAACCATTCTTGCACATATCTTTGGAATGTATTTTGCTAATAATACACACTGTTTATACAACGATGTGGTTGTGGTCTACTCCTCTCCAAGAACTACTTTCCAAACTCCAAAAACATGATGAATTTCAGTGGCATGATAAATTTTGTTTCTCACTCTTGTAAACAATATACAGTAGATATCAGGGATAGCAGTGAGTAAATTGTAACCCTTGTAAATGGGTTGCAATTTTTGCCTGATGTAGGAATGAATCCAGATAAAATGTTCTGTGTGCCACTGCCCCTACTCAGTGTGAGATCAATGGGCAATCCCTTCTCCATTCCCATATCCATTGACTCCTGATGGTCTTGATCAGCAAATGTTGGGTTTATTGATACGGAGGTATGAGTTGCAGCAAACTCAGGAGTTCCTTCTACTTTTGGGAGCTTTCCTAAAGCAGAGTGATTGGCACTTGCCCCTGGGATGACTCAGTCCAGTCTGGGCCCCTATGTAACTCCACTGGTCTCAAAAGTCCTTAGTTTCTATCTATAAGGACCTTCATGATGGTCAAAGGTGGGTGCATGAAGGAGGGACAGTGTGTAAATCTGTGCCCTGATCAGAGTTTGAGTCTCACTGGGGCCAACTGCTGCTGTGGTTGTTGTAGCTTTTGCTATTGGAGGTGCTGCTGCTGTTTCCTTTGTTTGTTTGTTTGTTTGTTTGTTTTACCTCCATCATTGCCTTTGGGAGGTCCTGGGGCCTGACTGGCCTTCTGGGTTGGGTTGATGGAGATGGCAGCCACAGTTTTGGGATGTGGGGATGGGTCTGATACTCCTATCCTACTACCTTGCCCCCAAGGCAGTCAGAGCAGTACAAGGACCTTGTTTTGGGGCTCCTCCTGGTTTATATAGTCTCATGCCTCCTCAACACTCCGAAAGTCCTTGGCACTCAATGCCTCCGCCAGCTCCTCCCAGGCATCTCCTCAAGCTCCTTCCTCCTCCATCTCTGAGGCTTCCACTGCCTCCCCAATGGGTACAGGTATCCCTCACCATACCCAGACATCTCCACCAGGGCCTCTTTAATGGTCCCCAACTGGTAGATGGCCTTCTCTTCCTCTTCCTTCCCCAGGTGACTTCCATCTGCCACAGCCTCTTCCCCTTCCTGGGCTAGTCAACCCTGCTCCACACCTGACTCAGACCCAGCTACTGCCCTTCCTCAGGTGCCTGGGGTGGGTATTGATGGTGTGCCAGCAGGGGTGCCAGTGGTGTATAGATCAGAAACAATTGTATAGATCAGAAATTGGAAATGTTATATTTTCAAGCTCTGGTTATAATGGGGGATAGGGAGAAATTTACACCACCTTGAGTTTATTAGGGGAAATATGGTATATAAATACTAACAAATGGATGAATGAATGAATGAATGAATGAATGAATGAATGAATGAATGAATGAATGAATGAATGGTTATAAGAATATAATAAGAACTTGAAAAAGTTACTTTTGAAGGGGCCAGTGACCATAATGGCTGGAGATTGTGGGAGTTGTAACCCTAAGCATATCTTTTTCTGTTGTAGGTGATCTGTGATATAGTTTACAACCACATCTTGCTGTGTCTCTTTGTGTGTGTGTGTGTGTGTGTGTGTGTGTGTGTGTGTTCAGGAATGTATGATAGGTGGCTGGGTAGCTCAGTGAGTTAGCCATCTCTTTGGGCATTTAATTATCCACTGTGGATCCTAGAAGAGCCAGCCTGTATGGCCTTGGGCAAGCCGTACAGTCCCAGAATGCCCCCAGAAGAAGGGAGTGGTAAACCATTTCTGAATATCTAGAAAACCCTGAAAAGGGTCACCGTGAGTCATTGACTTGACAGCACATGAATGTTATTATTCATGATAGCTTTACACTGGAAGTACTGAGACTTGTCCATATTCATTCATAACCAATAATTGTGAATGAACGACAAATTTCAGAGATGTCTTACAGACCCAGGGACTTAAAATTGCATAAACATGCAACTTAAAAGTTTCTATCCTTCTCTTTTGTTGGAATGTCGTCATATTTTCTTTTCCCCTGCAACAAAATAGACCTTGCAGAATGAAGTAAAAGGCATGGAAAAGAGGGCAGTGATGACTCATGAAATAGAAGAGCATAGGCATGATGTACAGGTTCTTGTGCAGAAATCCAAATCAGCCTTAGCAAGGAATGAAGAGTAAGTTGTTTGAGTTTGACAGAGTTACTTATATACGGGTATGCCATGTTTATGGAAATCATTCTTCCTCAGACTAACCTGTATTTCCAAAGGTCACTTCCCCCATTGTGAGGGATATTGTTTTGTTATATGTGACACTACCCTTGGTATGATCAGCCAAGCGTGGCCTCACCATAGTCTATTTAATGTAGCAGAAACAAGTGGTGAGGTGAGAGACAGACCAAGGTGTTCTTGGTGATTGTTCCTGGGCTATTCGAATTCCTTTTCCTGTGAACGAGAACAGCTCATCCATTTTACCTTCTTCCTCATCATAAAATATTTGATTCAGCAGAGAACAAATCTCAAGCCCCCTTTGAAGCCACAGAATACATATGGCATTTTTGTGATCCTGCATACTGGTGCTTTCCACTAAATGCAGCAGGATTTAAACAGCTGGGCAGTGCAATCCTGAATTGCTTTACCCACACACTAAATTTAATGAGACTTGTTTCCTAACACCTACCTTAAGAAGATCACATCTTTCACCTCACATTAAACGTTCTTAACCAGTCTTTTGTTCATGAAAAGGAGGATTATGAACAAAGCCTGACAAACCCTTTGTGTGTCTGCAACATCCTGAAGGACTTCTGCCCTCTCAATTATGTCAAAGGATGTTTCAACAGAATGACCTTGAATTCCTATTGTAGAGGGTTTATTTGTTATGAGGCTGCTCCAATAGAGGGTATCATGCATCAGATTAACCAAGAGACTTGTTTTAGCTGTTGCCATTCACAAATCTGGTGATCGACTGTGTCTGTCATCCAAAGTGACACTCCTGAAGTAAACAAGATAAGGTGATCTAGTTGGACTGCAGTTCCCAACTGTCTCAGCCAGGCGGGCCAACGAGAAGGGATAATGGAACTGATAGTTCATCAATGGCTGGATGAACCTTGGTATAACCTGCTAAAAAAAAAATCACAAACCTTTAAAAGAGAAGTGGCCAGCGAAATGGGGTTTCATTTCATAGTTTGCATTTGAGAAAAAGATTATCAGGATATGACCTGATAACCTCCTGAGTGGCTTCAGTCTCAAATTCACTGAAGTAATAATTAGGTAGATGAGGTGGTGTTGAAATGTAGGTTTAGTTCCATCTTCATGTCTATAGTAATTGTTGTGCATAGGCATTCACTGGTTTCTCTACTTTTCCTGGCTCTGATTATCAAGACTGTAAAGTTACTTTAAAGAAGAATGAAACATACAGTATAATGCAGTTGTTCCCAGCCTTGAGTAGCCCAGGTGTTCTTGCACTTCAATTCCCAAAAGTCTTTACCACCAGATGTGCTGACTGGGGTTTCTGGGAACTGCAGTCCAAAACTCCTGGGTTACCTAAGGTTGGGAACCCCTGATATAAAGCCAACTGTAGTAGTGGTAGGAAGATGCTCTGGGTCTCAGAGAATCCTTCTCCTCCTGCTTAGTCATAGTCATAATGCAGCATCTCATTATATCATTTATGCCTCCTAAAAATAACTTTGCAAGCTTATGCATTGCTGAAAAACTCTGCTGCTATTAGACTGGCATTAATAAACATATTCATTCTCTTTCTTTCACTGCATTTTAGACTCAGACACGAGTTAGAAATTGAATTGTGGGTGAGCCAGTCTGTTTCCAAAACGGCAGGTAAGATATTGCGTTGCATTGAACAATGACATATACTTCATGGATCACACAGAAGATGCTGTAGCTGCTAGGGGGATATCTTCATCACAGCAGTTGACGTCAACCTATGTTTACTCTGTTTCTCAAGATCTGCTAGTATGTTGCCCATATTTGACTTTGAAAGTCACAGGGCAGGCCCAGCACTCTTGCCCTAGTGACAGATGCTTCCTTGCACTTGCAGAAAAGGACCAGGCAGAGTCAGACAAAGCAGCAAGTCTTTTTCTTTCCACTGCTGAGCAGCTGACATCCCTGAGGTGTCAAATTATTGTGAAATGGGAGGAGATTCAAGCAATGGAGAAAGAAATCAAGGATACCATGACTTTTGCTGGCATTGTAAGCATCAGAGAGAAGACTGTAAAAGAATTAGAGGTAAGACCCAAGGGTGCAGTGAAAAGGCAGACGGGGGACATTTCCATCTTCCATTCAGATGGAGGTGTTTATGCCTTCTTTTTATTTTTGTTCATCATTTTTAATTGTAGTGAGTGCATGTAGTGCATTTTAATTGTTATCAGCTGCTTCAAGGACATTGCTAGGAAGCAGGACAGATTGTGAAAGAACAAGAATAACAACACCTGGTGTGTTTGTTTAGAAATAAGATACTTAATGCTCATGGAACTTAATGGCTCTTTCTTAAGTCGCAGTAAATGATGCTTATTGTTAGAAGAAAGAACCTAGGTGATGAACATCTGGCTTACACACAAACCCCTTCTCCTCTATGCTGGCTGGACTATTCTCAGACTTATACTCCCCAAAATAAATACTTTTTCCAAGCCCAACTTCAATGGGTTTTTTTTGTCCTGGACACCAATAATAGTTCCAATTTGACATCTCCCAAACATGTTCTTTGTAAAAAGAGGAGGGTGTCCACAGAATAGTATAGAAGGGCCTAGCCAGTTGAGAGAAACTTTGAAACCTCGGAAAAATAGTTATCTACTGGTCTGCAAGTATATCAGTTTTAAAAGCACCAATACTGCAAATATAATAGAATCATAGAAGAATGAAGTTGGAAGGGGCCTTATAAGGCCATCAAGTCCAACCCTTTGCTCAAAATATATTCCTGTTCTTTTGTTCTTAGGCACTCTGCTATTCTACTGAATGGACCTTGATTAAACTACTGATGTTTACGAACTGAAAAATGTAGTGAGACATGTCTAAAGTATTTTATTATTTCTGCAGGGTGAAGCATCAAAACTCCAGGGGTCTAACAAATTTCTAAGAAAACAAATAAGAGTAAGTGCACTCATCATGGGGTACTCAGCATTGTGTACTGGATAGAGTAATGGGCTCTGGGTTAGATTCCCCACTTCAGCCATGGAAACTTACTGGTGTGTGTATGGAACTGGTAAAACCCCTCCTTAAATACCTCACTTACCTTGAAAGCCCTATTAGGATTACTCTAAGTCGGTGAAGGGACGTGGTGGCACTGCGGGTTAAACCACAGAAGCCTCTGTGCTGCAAGGTCAGAAGACCAGCAGTCGTAAGATCGAATCCATGTGACGGAGTGAGCTCCCATCACTTGTCCCAGCTCCTGCCAACCTAGCAGTTCGAAAGCATTTAAATGCAAGTAGATAAATAGGTACCACCATGTTGGGAAGGTAACGGCATTCCATGTCTAGTTGTGCTGGCCACGTGACCACGCTGGCTCTACGGCTTGGAGACAGGGATGAGCACCGCCCCCTAGAGTCAGACATGACTGGACTAAATGTCATGGGGAACCTTTACCTTTACCTAAGTTGGTTCCAACTTGACAGCACATGACAACAACACTCATCAAAGCCTTAAATGAGGTGGCAACAGATTTTTTAAATTATATGTGTTATAAACCTGATTCTCAGATATCACTGAAAGGAGGCCAGCTCTCACGGTGACAAATACACCGTAGCAGCCATGGGATGGTGACATTTGGTATTGATCTAGTGGCAGCTTAATGTGTAGCTGTATGGTCATAAGGTATCATCAGTATCTTCCTCAAAGCTTGCATATGTGATGCTACAGTTCTAATTTGTGGAGTCTGTAGAATTTGTATCTCAAGGCCTATTAGATGCATAGCCTTAGAGTGCCAGCAGGACTGGTAAAATGTTTCTGAGTGCTTTACACCCTGAAAATCCTGGGAGGGTAGACATAGCACCAACTTGGTGACACACAATTATGATGATGGTATGAGATAGTGATGAGCTAGGTTGCATGGTCATTTGGTCCCTTTAAGCTCCCAGTTCTTGAGAATGTGATTGCAAGTGACTGTGCCTCTTAGCTCTATGCAGTATGGTCTGATGTAAAATAATGTGGCCAAGATTATGAGCTGCAGTCTCCACCTGAAATCTCAGCTGTGTCACTAGGTCACCAGATGACCTCAGACAACTCTCTCTCTCTCTCTCTCTCAGTCACACACACACACACCACACACACACACACACTTAGCCCCTCCTTCCTGAATTGCAAGCTACAGTTATCAGTAGTCGCCACTGCCTCAACAGAAACAACCCTTATAGAGAAGTGAAAGGACTCCTGACTTAGTGGATATGCATTTGAACTCTGTGCATTTGAAGTACACTTTGTAGTATCTGCCTGCAGTGCCAGAGGTCAGGAGTCCAATCCCCCACTTTGCCTCCTTGTATAAGAGCCAGCCTTGGGCAAACTGCACAGTTCCAGAGTAGAGAGTACTCAGAAATGGTTTACCATTTCCAGAAGTAGGGAATGGTAAACTACTTCTGGGTATTCTATACCTAAAAAACCCTGGCAAGTACTATCACTGCTATTGCCAAAAAGCTAATTGTTCTCTTTAGTTTCCACAGAAGGACTACATGCTTAGGTCTTTCCCATTTTATATTTTGTAGGATGTCGAACAGACCATCACAGCTACATTAAAGAGGCAAAAGTTCAGCACAGACTCTCAGCGGTGAGTATGGCTGTTCTAATACAAGTGAGACATGACTCAAACTCTGTACCAGCACCAGCATTCACCATGATTCAAACTCTGGCTCAGCCTTGACAATTGCCTCTTATCGTCAGGACTCAACTGATCCTGAACATGGCAACAGTGCATTTCCTTCATCACCAAATAAATGAAAAATGCTCACACATCAGGGCTGAGAACTACCTTCAGAAGTAGTACCTTCTTTTGATGTTACTTCCAAAGTATTTTGAATATCAGCATCTCTGTGTGCTCCCTCCCCCCAGAACTTAATCACTGTAGCCAAGCTCTGTTGTATATATTAAATGTCACAGATGGGTAATAAAATCCTCTTTCACATTACAGCTGAAGATAGCGCACAACAACGTTAAGTGACTCGTGGGTGCTATTTTGAAGCTGCAATTCCATACTCATTTACCTGGCATAAGTTCATTTTAATTCTATGGGATTTGCTTAAGTAGACATCCATAGGACTGCATTATAACATGATGAGCTCTGTATTTAGTTAAGGGATATAATACAAGGGGGGGAATAGTGGTGAGAATGTTACATTTAAAAAGTAATTAGTTACAATTATGGTTTCAGACAACCAATTAATAACTTATTGTTACAGCTTTTAAAAAGTAAATATTCACTATCACAATTACTCAAAAGTAACTAAAACAATTTCAGTTAAAAACAACCTGACTGTTACTCACCACTGGTTTATACTACACAACACAGTCTCCTCCCATCCATGTCTTCATCCCCTCAACAGATTGTGAGGCAGCAGAAAAAGACACAGGATGGGCCGGCATTTGAACCATGTGATATTCTTCCTGTACTATTTACTGAGGACCTGCCCCCCCTCAACTATGGAAGTAACTGAAAAAGTACAGTTATGCTGCAAAAGGACTGAAATCCTTGGTAAAGTTGCAATCACAATGTAATGTAGTTATACCATCATTACTGGGGAAAAATTAGTCCCAAGCTTTGGCAAATATTAATCATACTCTTTTAAGTTCCAGCCACCAAAACTATGCAATACAGTATATCTGTTCAGGTGTTACCTTCATAGCTAGATTATTGTGCTTCCAAAAATAAAAATAAAAATTAAAAAATTAAAAAAAATTAAAAAAAATTAAAATGTTGTGGCACCTTAAAGACTAACTGCTGTATTTTAATGTGAGCTTTTGTGAGCAAGTTCAGACAAACTATGAGCATGTTTCAAAAGGAGTGCTGTCCTTTCCCCTCTCTGCCATTGTTTTCTACATGTGAAAAATGATGTTTCTGCGGATGAGAGGTTCCTGCCTGGTTATCCTGCTCCTGGGTGTGTGTGGTCTCTGTTCAAGCAAGAATTCTAATTTGTCAATGTTCTGACTCTAAACATAAGCAGGAACATCTCTAAAGACAGATGACTTTCCATGTGTAGAAATCAAAGATATGTTGAGAATTTTGATTATAACATGTATTCTCATAACAGTAGCAGAGTAAGGAGATATTGGTTAGCAGAGATACTATGACACTATGACACTGAGAGAGTAAAATATCAACTTAGTCTATTTACATATATACATAGAGAACAGACATTCATCTGGTACCATAACATACTATGATATGATACACTGCACAGGAAAAAGTGATCTGACTTAGAGCAGATAAAATGTTCCTTTTACACATGACTTATGTACAGTTCTGGGACCAATAAGAAAATACATTACTTCATTTTCTGTTACACAAAGTTTCATCATGTACCACAGCTGTACAACGTTAAGTCTCAATCCTTGATATCCCCACCTGAATACAATCAGTACAATGACTCAGGTAAAATCAGCCATTTTACATTTAACTGTACAACATTTATATTTAATACATATTCATATCAAGATCTCAACAGGTTAAACATTTCCTTCAAAGCTTAGAGAATCTGTCCCTGAAAGTAACACCTGAATAGGGCTTATGAGAGGAGACATAGGTGAATATTTGCAATCACTCTTTGAAATTATTAGTGTTGACGATGACTTTTTGAAACACTATACAATCAATTCCTCTGTTGATATGAGCCATCGAAGTAGCAGTTCTTTCCTGTGGCATGGCTGGTGTTAAGAGGGATGTTGATAAAGAGTTGAAAGCTGTGAATCAGTTGTCACCAATAAAACACTGGAAGCAGCATCTCTTGTTAATCTGTTCCTTAAAGGCTGTTATTGTTCAGCCATTGAAAGGTTTTTGGAAGGAAGATTTAGCATAATGTAGTAGTCCAGTATCATGAATGGAGAAGGCAAGTGTGGCCAGTCAGGGGCACAGTCAAACAAAGGAACTTAAAAGAATATGGACTGCTTGTACTCTTGTAAGAACAATGGAAGTCATTCTGTCAGAAGGCAAAATTCAGCAGTGTTATTTTAAAATCATTAAAATACAGAAATCCTAGAGGTTATTAGAAATAAAATATTAAAGCAATTAGCAGCAGATAATACTGAAATACAAGGTTAATTAGTCTCATTTATAGGCTGTTAATTATTAAAAGTAATTAGCCTAGAGACAGTTAAAGAAATGCCCTTACTAAATATTTTTAATATGTTAAAACTCTGAGAGCTGTTTAAATTTTATTCCCAGTAAAGTGCATAGTTAAGTTATTTTTAAATTGTGTGGCGCCTTGGAGATATTTGCATAATATGACAGGTTGTAAATGAGGGAGCTCCCAAATTTTGCCCTTCTTTTATTATGATTCTCAGTTTGGGAGCTGGCACAACTCTTCTCCATTATAGATTAGGGAATTTGAAAGACTGCAAGAAGCATGAGAATCAAAGTCTGTCTTGGAGGCATAATTGAAGGAGGATGTCTAATTGTGTGCAGTGAGAACTGTATCATCTTTTCGCCCTCAGTACACACAAGCTTATTTAAATGGCATTAATTATCAGCAAGGCACAGATTAATAATGCAACCATTCAATCCCCAAAGTAGCAACTTCTCAGGTGGCGTGATGTTATCTACCAAACTGAAGGCAAAATATGTGGCCCATTTCTACATGAGTCAATATTTATCTGCCCACAAAATACTCAGCTGGTTTAGCATCTCTTGCCAAGTCTCCTTAAAGTATTTTCTCTTTATTGGATTTTTAAAATTAATTTATTTATAAGACATCTTACTGGACCACCCAAGGCAATGAATAAAACACAAATATAGAATTAAAAATAGAATATTACAATATAGTTTTAAAACTCAACTATACAAAAATTAACAATGCATTAAAATGTAATGCACTGATTTTTTTTAAAAAAAAGCACTACTTCTCGGTAGACTAGAGAAAATCTATGTGCATCCATGAAAATAGCACCTCTTCCTTTGCTTTGCTTTGCTTTCCTCCTAGCTTACATCCATGAAAATGGCACCTCTTCCTTTGCTTTGCTTTGCTTTGCTTTCCTCCTAGCTTCAGTTCCCAGAAGCCCCCAGTGAAATGCCCCTCTTTGTGCCTTGGGGATTCTGTGAGCAGAGGCCTAGAAAAAAACATCAAGTTCTGCTTCTGGTGGCTGAAACAGTGGTTGCGAATCAGAAGCCCATTTAAATGTGCCTTACCATGTACATACCAGAATGGATACTACTGTGTCACAGAAAAAGAGGATGGACACATATTTGCCTAAAATCACATGCACTAGTTTTATGTACAGATGCAAAATTAGCCATGATTTTTATAATTTAGGGTTACAAAGCATTTAAGTGAAGTAAGGATGATTATGAACAAGCAACTTGTGTGCCTGCTGAGTCTATTGAGTCTAGGTATTCTATAATAATAATAATAATAATCTTAGAACTGAAGATCTGGAAGGGACCCTATGGATCACTTAGTCCAGCACCTGGCTCTGCAGCAAAGATTTCTCTGTGTGGTGCAGAAACTTGATTTCCAAAGGTTGTGTACTTTTTTTGAGCAACAGCAACTAGGATCCCTTTGCTAGCCTGGCCAGGGGCCATTCAGGCTGGGAGATTCATGGAGCTGCCGACTAGAGAAGAATGTTTTCTGAGCGCTGGTTAGTTTTATAAGACAAGAGACAGCCTCCATGAATAGAATGAACTCTCCAATTCATCCGTTCGCCCTCAGTGTGATGAGAATGGGCTGGAGCTAATGGATATGTCCTCCCACCTCATGTGTTGTGAAAATATAGGATTTGATATCCCCCCTGGGAGTAGCAGGGAAAGGGCAAGAATAGAAAAGGGCATGCTTGGCCATGCATTTAACTCTATCCTTGTCAGCCATGGAAGGCAGCCCATCTAGGAGAAGGAAAACTCCAATTTCAAACCTCCGCTGCCTTGTGGCTATATCCACTCATGGAAAAGGCTTCAGGAGTTAACCTC